GAAGTCAGAAGCCAGGGAGTTGAAAGTCCGAGGTACAGGTCAGGAGTGTAGTTGTACGAGCCGAAGTCAAGAGCCAAAAAGTCAAAATGAGGAGCCGGAACAGGAACACGAGTGATGAGGTGCAAAGCTTCGTCCAAAATGACTAGTTGCTAGCACAACTAGTCGACATGAGTGCGAGAGCTAAATAGCCCGTAAGGCTGTCGGCAATTAGCGTGCCCTGATTGTGTCCCGGCTCCCGCTAGTACTCAGGGCTAAAAGAGCGCCTACTGCGCATGCGCACATCCCGCCGCCAGGATGCCATGTCCCGTCGGCATTGCTCCCGCAAACGGGACACTGATGGGGGTGAATCGGGGCGTGTTGCTCTGGCGTGAGTCTGCTTCAGCTGTTGCAGAAGCAGTTTCCGTGGCTTCAGTTCTGTCAGGTGCGGGGTTTTCAGGAGCCGGGAGCTCATCCCCAGCTGTACTTAGGTCTTCTGTTGGGGCCAAGTGCTCATCCCCAGCAGTACTTTGATCCTCTGCTGGGGTCAAGTGCTCGGGTTCCGCAGCAGCCGTGACATGGTTCTTATCAGTGACTATGCTGATTAAGTACTTTGGTTTCAGTTGCAATGTTTCTGCAGACAGTTTCCTAATAACTGTTCAGGTTTTCTGAAAAGGTCACTCTTTTAGTGTATCAAAATCTTTCCCCTTTTCTGAAATCACAATGTGTCTTCCTTCCCTTGAGTAGTCTACAACCGTTTCCTTTCACAACAGACCATGGACTGCTTCAGTGTCAATTCCATGTATAACTGTACAGGATTTATATTATATTTATATTTCTTCCCTGAAAATATAATCCCGTTCCTTTTGGCCTGATTGGGAGCTTCAGCTGCCCAGTCACTCTTTGCCAAAATCTCAAACCCCAGTTCGGGACATCTGTGTGAAAACGAATTCTTTCTCCGGTTTTGTTGAACACAGTTAAGACCAGGAGTCTCTTCCTTTATTCAAAAGGTGAACCTGTCTGACAGACTTTTAGTCAGACTCTTCAGGCATCCACTCCTGTAGCTGAACTTTCACTTTACCGAACAGTAACTGCTGCTGAACTGGACTGCCTCTCTGACTGACTGACTGACTATATAGTCTTCCTCAACAGGTGCTAGCCAGTCAGAGAAAAGGAGCAGCCTGTCACTCAAACTCAACTTTCTAGAGCAGAGTTTATTACTAGTCACCTCCCTTCTCTGATTTTACTGCATTAGAAAACAGCATTTTTAAATGTAGTCCATCACAGCAGCCAATTCCACTCCTGAATTACTCTTCCCATTAAAAAAAAATGCCTAATATCCAGACGGTATGTTTCCACCTGTAACTGAAACCCATTACTGCAAATCCTGTCCTCTGCTGCCACAGATGTATACATGCATATGATAATACAGCTAGTCATACGACATACGTAGCTAACCTTTCAAATTACCAGAGCACCTCTTCCCCACTCCTGTTGACTTACCTTGTGGACTTCTTGCTCTTTCCTTGGCGTGAGGCACAGTAGCTCCATCAGACAGCAAGATGGCCACAGCTACTCTGCCTCATGCCAGGGAGACCATGAGAAAGCAGAGAGGGAAGCAGAGGATGCTCAGGCTTCCCACTGCAATGTGGGTGCCACACAGAGGGGGACAGTGCTCAGAAGAGCCACAGGTGGCATGTCAGGGAGCCACGTGCAGTGTCTGAGTTTCCACCTGTAACTGAAACCCATTACTGCAAATCCTGTCCTCTGCTGCCACAGATGTATACATGCATATGATAATACAGCTAGTCATACGACATACGTAGCTAACCTTTCAAATTACCAGAGCACCTCTTCCCCACTCCTGTTGACTTACCTTGTGGACTTCTTGCTCTTTCCTTGGCGTGAGGCACAGTAGCTCCATCAGACAGCAAGATGGCCACAGCTACTCTGCCTCATGCCAGGGAGACCATGAGAAAGCAGAGAGGGAAGCAGAGGATGCTCAGGCTTCCCGCTGCAATGTGGGTGCCACACAGAGGGGGACAGTGCTCAGAAGAGCCACAGGTGGCATGTCAGGGAGCCACGTGCAGTGTCTGAGCCACTGAGGATCACTGCTAATTTGTCTTAATGCAGTCACTTGACTGCTAGCCAAGCCATTTTAGCATTTTTTAAAATCCTGCTATTTGACTGTCTTTATTTTATTGGGACATGTTTAGTATTTTATTAGTTTGTAATGTATTTTAGGAGCTGCGGTGGCTCGAGTGGTTAAGACGCTGAACTGCAGGCTGTGGAAGGTCGGTAGTTCAGCAGTTCGAGACCCAAGTGTGCCGCATGACGGAGTGAGCTCCCGTCTCTAGTTCCAGCTCCTGCCAACCTAGCCGTTTGAAAGCAAGAAATTGCAAGTAGATAAATAGGTACCACTTCGGTGGGAAGGTAACAGTGTTCCGTGCGCCTTGGTGTTTAGTCATGCCGGCCACATGACCACGGAAATGTCTTCGGACAGCGCTGGCTCTTCGGCTTTGAAACGGAGATGAGCACCGCAACCCTGGAGTCGGATTTGACTGGCTTTCGAGCAAGGGAACCTTTACCTTTAATGTATTTTAACATGTTTGTTTGCTGTACACCCACTTCAGACATTTTTAAAGAACCAGCTAATGGAGCACTTAAATAAATAAAAGTGCACCCCGAGGGAATATCTACTTGGTGGTTTAGATCAGAGAATAATTTGCAACTTATTTTTTGCAAAGAAATATTTTTTGCTGTAGGGCTAGGGCGGCTGTGTTTAATTTGTTCATTGGTTCAGTGAATGGATTCCAAATGTTTGATAAACTAAGGGAGGAATTCTAAGCAGGTCTATTTAGAAGGAAGTCCCATTTTATTGAAGGGGTTCTTAGGATTGCAGGCTAAAACACTGTCTGAGGTTGACTGGGTAGCAGATTAATTTTGAAGATATATCATATTCTGTATAAGTACCTATAAAACCTACAAAAGATAATCACCATCTTAAAAGATACATCGGGGTCCTGCACATTATTATGCTTGAATGCCTGCAGGTGTTCACATCCTGCTCAGCATTCATTCAGCCAGCTTGTTTGGATTGGTCTGAATTAATTCACATGTGTATTTGCATGATTTTGACTCATGTGATTAGACTTTCTTGCCGCCGCCACCCATCTGCCATTTCCCCAACTTTCAATTTTTGAATGGGCACAGAGTAAAATGAAGAAAAATTCAGTTTAAAAATTTTGAGCTGAGACTTTCTACTTAGCGTCTCCTTGTGTCTTCAATGTCTGCTCGTGAATCTAGCAAATCTTTCAACTAGTTCTTGTGATTGTTTCCTGAATAAATGCTGCTGACTTTGCAGACTCAAAATGCAAGCAATGCAATGCAATCTAGCTGCTGACACTCATTGAAAGGATGTATCCCACTGTGCAGGTGTGAAGAAAGGACACACAGCAAGTGATCCCATACTTTACAGAAACCAGTCAATTTAATTAGTTGGATCCAGACAGCTTTTCCACTCAGTCTGACCCATACTACAGCTTCCATCCCACATGGCTTTTGTATACGCAGGCTCCATGATTCTCCAAAACAGGATGCTTGTTTCCTGTTGGATCCAACCCAGTGACCAAAACAACTATGACCCTGGGGCATAGCACCTCCTTCTCTGTAAATTAGATTTAGTTCTTAAGCTGGCTGACCAGGGATTTGAGGACCCAAGTATTGTTCAAGTCCAACATTCTTAGTGTAATCCTAGGCAGACTTCTTCCAGAGTTCCTTGAAACCAATGGGCTTAGACTGGAGCAATGCTGCATAGGGCTAGCCCTGCCAATCATACTATACCATACTGACTCGTCGGTAGCCAGTTATGGTGATCCCCATGCCTGGAAATATTTCAGCTCTCACTAGTCCCTCTTCAGTTTGCATTTGGTCCACCCTCCAGATGGAAGCAGTTGTGGACTCGGAGTGGTCCACACAGCCCACACTGCAGGATTTGTATTGAGGGGAGCAGTGGCAAAAATTGTCTCCAGACCATGTGGGGAACTGTCATTCAGGTGTGTTACCAGGAAACAGATAGACTGCAAATAAGATCCAGATTCTAGCCGGCTGAGCTCTGTTACAGTAGAATCCTAGGGTGGTGTGTGACATCCAGAAAGATAACAACATAATTATAAAACGTTTCTAACTTAAACTAATGATGGCAGCTGCAATACTCTATGCCATGGCTTTTTTTTTTTTTGGCAAGGCTCACCGGTACAGAGTACAGGAACATTTTGGGGAGGTTCTCCCATGTCCCGCGTTTCTAACTTAAACTAATGATGGCAGCTGCAATACTCTACGCCATGGCTTTTGGGGGGGGGGCAAGGCTCACCGGTACAGAGTACTGGCACATTTTGGGGAGGTTCTCCCATGTCCCAAGGGGGGAATGGATGGAAATCAGTGCAGCCTTATAAATGAGTACTGTCACCTTTTCTTTATACAAAATAAGCACTGCCCAATACCCCGTTCTCTTGCTTCTGCTGACACTCATTGGAGAGCCAGTTTGGTGTAGTGGTTAAGTGCGCGGACTCTAATCTGGGAGAACTGGGTTTGATTCCCCACTCCTCCACTTGCACCTGCTGATGTGACCTTGGGTCACTCACAAGCTCTGGCACAGCTGTCCTTGAAAAAGAGCAGTTTCTGTCAGAGCTCTCTCAGCCCCACCTACCTCACAGGGTGTCTGTTGTGGGGAGGGGAAGGGAGAGGAGTTTGTAAGCCGCTCTGAGACTCCTTTGGGTAGTGAAGGGTGGGGTATAAATCCAATCTCTTCTTCTTCTTCTTCTTTGATGCACCATGAGGGCTAGACACTTTCTTTGTATTTTGTAATCGAATCTATGCCTTGCCATTTACAATATGACTTTCGACGGCCTGTGAAAGACGGCTGGGCCCTAGAGACCACTGATGGGGGTGTGTGTGTGATTCTTTTAGCCCATTGTTTCTGTGTTGGAAATCTTAACTTCTGTCCATGTGCTCTTTCCCCCAAGGCAGCAGAGTGACAGCTCCTCCGCTTCCCCTCGGGCTTTCTCTGCACCCCATACCTATGGATACATCTGCAGCCCGCTGGCCTCAGAACTGCTGGAAACTGATGGTGCGGATGAGGATGAAGACCCCGCCCTGCAGGAGGGGGGCTGCCGTCCCACAAAGTTCTTCCGTGGTTTCTGCAGGACTCCCTCGTCTAGCCTGAGTGAGGATGAAGCTTCCCTGGGGGGCTCCCTGCTCAATGGTTGGGGCTCTGTCTCAGAGGACAATGGCACCAGTACCCGCTGCAGCCTGGTCAGCTCCTCCGATGGCTCCTTCCTCCTGGACGCCAATTTTGCTCAGGCCCTAGCCGTGGCGGTGGACAGTTTCTGCTTTGGGCTGGCTCAGAGGGAAGTGGACAAAGCACTGACAGGTAACCACCCCCTCTCTTCCCTCCCCAGACATGTGTGTGTGTGGGGGTGTTAACTGAATCTGTCTTATAAGCATAGATCCAGGTGGTCAGGTGTGTTGGTCTGAAGCAGTAGAAGCAGAGGTCATTTCGGGGGGGATTGCGGGGGATCGCAGTTCCCCCGGGTGAGGTACGGGGGCGGGGCACATGACAAAGCCCCGCCCCCGCTTCCGGCCGCCCCGCTTCCGGCCCTCATTCAGCCAGGAGGAGGCAGGAGAAGAGGGACGGTAAGTTGCTTCCTCCTTGCCTCTCCCCACCCCTGCCTGCCTGGGGCCAGGGAGGGCCTTCGCGGGGCTTCCTTGCACTCCCGCCGGCCTTGCAGGTCCACCGCCGGGTCCCTCATGGGGCTCGGCAGTGGAGCTGCAAGGCTGGCGGCGGCGGCCGGGACCGTTGGGGGCGGGGTGTGTGGCTTTATGACACACTTCCGGTGATGTCAGGGGGTGTGGCATATGCTAATGAGTTATGCTAATGAGTTCCCCTAGCTCTTTTTCTACGAAATGACCCCTGAGTAGAACAAATTTAGAGTCCAGTGGCACCTTTAAGACCAACAAAGGTTCATTCAAGGTATGAGCTTTTGAAAGTCGTAAAGGTGCCACTGGACTCTAAATTTGTCTTATGAGCTGGCTTCCTCCCACCCCAAGGGCCTCCCCCCAGCTCATCTCCAAATCTTACAGCCTTTTGTGGCACCCCGTATTTCATTTCTCAGAAACGGTCAGCATTTTTCAAAGTGGTGAAGAAGACTGGAAAGTAGGCTTAGAAAATCACTGGAGGTTTGGGGGCGGAGCCTGGGGAGGGAGGGGTTTGGGGAGGGGAGGGACCTTAGCAGGGTATAATGAATGCCACAGAGTCCACCCTCCAAAGCAGCTATTTTCTGCGATCTCCAGGCACTGCATAACCCTACCAGGAAGTGCGCAAGGAACCTTGCTGGATGTGCCTCGAAAACCAGGCCCCACTCCTCTTTTTACAGCTAAGATTTGTAGGACTGCTGCTGCTTTGCCACTCTTTGAACTAGAATGCATTTCACTGCACTTCAGGGTCATTCAGTTAAGTGAAGTTTGATGAAAGCCACAGAGATATGGGGCTTTCTGCAATGCAAACTCCTTCCTATGGTGGGGTTGCCAAGCAGCTGTGGGGGGAGGGGGGGTCTTTGTTAGAGATTTCAGTGTAAAAGCAGAGTTAATAAATGCAGCAGAACACTTGTATTAGCTTTTAAATAATACACTTTACTAATGAGGGAGGGTAAACTGGGAAATACTAGAGACAAAACAAAGGATTAACATCCTCTCTGACTTCACTAACCTACATCCACTTTCTAAAGTCTAAACCACATGTGCTGGCCCCAGGGGAGAGTCAGAACAAAGAGCAATAAACTTTCTAAGCCTCCACCCCAGGGCATCTTCTGATCTATTGATTACCGAATTGGAGAATCCCAAACCTAACTAATTATGCATTTTATCACCTTGCCCTGGTGGCAAATACATGCAGGGTCTGTCACTGGGTCTCTAAGTAAACTATCTAGGATATCAGCATGCATAAACAACATGTAAATTCTTCCATGACTTCAGGAAGAGAACTTGCAAACCCCAGCAGTCCTGATATGAATCAGAGCTATGTCACTGGAGCAGGGGGTGGTAATTTTTCTCCTCGTGCCCTTTTCCTGATCAAAACTGGTCCCTCAGGATGCTTGGAGGCCCAGGAGAGAGAGGCACTATATGTCTTTTCTCCTTACCTGAACTAGGAGGACTAGAGAAAGTACATTTTCAGTTGGGGAAATGGTCTAGTGGGGGGAGGGGGGAGAAAAATCACATTGATATATAAATGGCCTCATGAAGGAACTTGGACATAATCTGTTTATATATCTGTCTACCTACCAAACGCAACCATTCATGCATCTGATGAAGTGGGCTCTGGCTGGTAAATGCAGCTGCAGAAAGCAATTATTTTTTACTACTTAGACTTTATATTATTTTGGCTATTATTTTGCCTTTTGCAAATGGCAGGCAATTAATCTGTGTGAAGAATAATTCATAATTCATAACAAATTTAACCAGTGACGCTTTTCTTGGCATGACGATGTGGTGGGGAAAAATCCGCCCTATGCCTTTCTGTGCATCATGCTGTAGTTAAACACCCAGGAGCGGGGCCACTAAAAGAAGGCAGGAAGCCTCAAGGGTGGGGAGTTGCAGCTGAGTTCTCCCCCCATGGAAGGAAAAGGATTCTGAGCTGACATGTTGGCTTTCTAATGAAGGGTTTGTTTTACATAGGTGATCCTGTTGGAAAAAATTAACAGGGCACTAAAAATGCATAATGGAATAAAAGGCAGCACATAGTCATGTGTGTTTGATTAAAAAGAAAACTACTAAGAAATAAAATGGAGGGTTACATTGGAATATAAAACAATAAAGAGTAAACTGTTTAACTAGTGGTTAAGTGTGTGGACTCTAATCTGGGAGAACTGGGTTTGATTTCCCACTCCTCCACATGATCCTGCTGGATGACCTTGGGCAAGCCATAGTTCTGATAAGAGCTGTTCTTGAAAAAGAGCAGTTTCTGTCAGAGCTCTCTCAGCCCCACCTACCTCACAGGGTGTCTGTTGTGGGGAGGGGAAGGGAAAGGAGTTTGTAAGCTGCTCTGAGACTCCTTCGGGTAGTGAAGGGCGGGGTATGAATCCAATCTCCTCCTCTTCCTCTTTTTTTTCCTCTTCTTCTTCTCCTTCTTCCATCTCCTGATCTAAACACCATCTTGGGTAAAACCCCTTTGTGATCTCTAGAACAAAGAAACAGAAAGTTCTCCAAAACTGCCTACAGGACCAAAAGCATGCAATACCCCAATAAAACTGCCAATAGAGAAACTTAGATCCCTTATTTAGAATACTACCTCCTACTTCTCTAGCGAGAACTTCTACATGATGTCTAGCTGGCTCTGTGCTGATTGACTACTATTTGTAAACACAGACAACAGATTAACTCTTTCATGACGCAAGTGCAGACACTTGCTTATTCCAACAGATCCCTTCTTTACGGTTTGACATGATACAGGCCAGTAGCAACTTGATGAAGTGATTCAGTCATGTGTATATTTTGCCTTTTGCTTGATCAGACCTGTCCACACGCTTGATGTCCCAAACTCGTATGGGTCCAAGCGTGCAGAATGCTGCCATGGCCTTAATTACACTCCCTTCCCCAGGGCTTCTTCTCTGGCAAAAATACCCCCCCCCCTTACCCCAGCCAAAATGTTATGTCAGCAACAATGTCAGCCGTCATTAAGTTCTAAGTCAGGTTCCCTTTTAACCAGGGTTTGAAGCCAGGGGTTGAAGCTGACAAGCGAAACCCCAGTTAAAAGGGAATGGCGTTCCCCAATGCACATTGATGCTGATGTAATGTTCAATCATGCTCGAGACAACAAAAGTGGGGCAAGAATTTATGCCAAAGAGAAGATGAAAGATCTGCACTGGCCCAATGTAATCACGAGGGTGTCCTCGGGTGACACAAAAGGCAGTGTCCTTAGGGCATTGTAGGGTTGCCAGGCTGGGAAATTCGTGGAGATTTGGGGGCTGGATCCTGGGGAAAAGAGGGAACCTCAGCAGGCTATAATGTCATAGAGTTCACCCTTTAACACAGCCCTTTTTATCTAGAGGAACTGATCTTTGTGGCCAGGAAGGTACTTGGGCTTCCAGGAGATCTCCAGGTCCCACCTGGAGGTTGGTAACCCCAGGACATTGGAAGGTAGACTAAGCTGTTCTGGAGAGTCCCCCAACCTTCAGTTACCCTTCAGTGTACATTGACTTCTCCAAGATAGAGTCTAGCAAGTTTTCAAGTAAAAACCAGAATCCCTCTTGGCTCTGACCCCCAACCCAACAAGTAGAAGAAGAGAAGAGGAGATTGGATTTATACCCCACCCTTCACTACTCAAAGGTGTCTCAGAGCGGCTTGCAAACTCCTTTCCTTTCCCTTCCCTTCCCCACAACAGACACCCTGTGAGGTAGGTGGGGCTGAGAGAATCAACTCTTGTCAGAACTATGGCTTGCCCAAGGTCATCCAGCAGCTGCAAGTGGAGGAGTGGGGAATCAAACCCTGTTCTTCCAGATTAGAGTCCGTACACTTAACCACTACACCAAACTGGCTCTCTACAAGTGTTAGCAGAACCTACACATTTTTGCTGGCCCTCCCCAGAGATGGGTCTCTGGGACAGCAGAGTTGAGTTGCAGGCAAAGCATGATCTACTCTCCGGAGTCCTCGACAGCCAAATTGATTTATCTTGTATCTGCTGCTCAGGTTCTGGGCACTTCCATTCAATCTTTGTTCCTTGTAATAAGGCAGACGGCCAGGAAAGTGCAGCTTGATTTATCACTGCAGTAATTCTCAGTTGCCGTTAGAATGAGGCTTTTGTTTCGAGTCTCCCCCCCCACACACCCCACTCCGTATAGCAAACTTTGAGCCATAAATGACAAAATTGATGGAGCCAGCAAAAATGCAAAAAGGAAAAGACCTTCCAGGCACAAACATGCCGAGAATCCCTGAGCGAATGGCTGGACGGCTGCTCCCGTTCACCTTCCTCTCAAAGGCAGAGGCCAGCCCTCTTCCCCTCTCCCTGATTTCTTTGAAGCTCTTCCTGGTTCTGTCAGCTAAATCCGACAGATCCTACCTTTGCAGCTCACAGGACAGTGTGGCGAGGTCACGTTGACCTTAACCTGATTGACCTAGACAGGCCTCTTTGGCTTCCCACTGGCTTCCTGCACTTTACATCACAGCAGGCCTCGTTCCAAAACGCTCAGGGAAGAAGCAGCAATGTGTTTGCAGCCTTCTTGAGGAAAATCATGAAGTTGGCTCCTGTGAGGTCTCCTGTTTTTGCAAGACCACCTTACAAAGAGAGTGCAGCAGCCAGGCTGCTCGTGAGTTTCAGTTCCTCCCGTTGACTCAAATTGCCACGTTTCCAGGCTATGAATTCATGGTCCCTTGAATGTT